ATCTGTTGCTGAAATTTGCAATCCGCCAATGACTATGATTGGCATAGCTTTCATCCACGATAAAATCTTTTTGAACAACTTCTTTCAGCATAATGATATTTTGTAAGTTGAAGCAAACATTGCATTAACTGTATCTGTTGAAAAATCCTTGAAATATATTTGATCCTCAGCGTAAAAGCGACAAAATCACAACGCCAAAAAATCTCACTCCTTCGACAGTTTCGTTTAAAAGCACGCTCGTGCCAGTCCTCTGCCGCATCACACATCTATCAGCACGCTATGAGTGCGTTTCACCGCCCATTATATAAGCGCCCTGATTACAACCATGAGCAGCTAACAATTGCTCATGTTAATGCATCCAATTGCTCATATTAATGCTCGCCATTCATCAGCATTGGCAAAAAAGATATCCTCAGATGATATGTCGGGGTTAGAACCTGTTGTGTTTCTAGGAAAAGGTGCTAGGGTCATGTTAACCATGAATTTGTGGTCAAGTGTTGGTCTCTGCAATGGTGCTACTAGGACAGTTGTTGATATTATCTATCAGAACAACCATCAACCAGCTGACTTACCTATTGCGGTAATAGTAGAATTTGAAAACTATAGAGGACCTGTTTTTAATGAAAACCAACTATTGTGTATCCCAATATATCCAATCACTAGCTGTCACATCACAGACAGAAATAGGTTTCCATGAGAGGCAATTAACAGTTACCTCTTCGGCTTGCTTGGGCTTTGACAATACACAAGAGCCAAGGACTTACACTTCATTCACTTATGTGCATGGCACTATGTTTCTAAATAAATTTCTCATGCTACCAATTATTTTTTTCTATAGTTTTGCAATTCTGACGGATGTGAATGGTGCCATCATACTACATTACTAGAGCAGCTGGATGAAACCAAATGGTTGTTAAATTCAAAGTATAATATGGCTATATTGCAGTACATCGCATGGAAATGGAATGGATTAACAGAAATGTATTTCTATTAAAACAAGAATACTGATTTACAAGCTTGTATGGATTTATTACGTCTAATGCAATGGGATGAAATCTGCCATGTATTATTAAATTACCGTACTTGTTTCCAATCTACAATATGGATGTCACAAACATAATGTATATCAAGATAGTACATACCTTTTATATGTACAGTAACCTAACAAGTTATTGGACAATAGTGAATATATTTCTAACATCTCATCAGCCATGAGGAATTCTGTGTTACAACATGTGCTTCACAGTTGTTTTGAAGAATACAATTACATCTGGGGCCGGTTGTATAAAAACGTAGTTAGCGCTAACTGCAGTTAAAAAGTATTTAAAAAGTAGTTAACTTTAATCACGTAGTTAAGCCGGTTGTATAAAAGTGTAGTTAGCCTTAACTACAGTTAAAAAGTAGTTAAAGTTAACTATACTTTAGGGTATAGTTAACTGTCCAAAATGTAGTTAAAAATGGCGTTTGTATAGGAGTGAACAACATTTTTCAGTTAAACAATAATGAAAAGCAACGTTTACCTGAGATTTTCAATCGCTATCTTCCCTGTGAATGTTTCCTGACAATATAAACTCTTCAAATGCTATCGCTTTGGTGTTTTTACAAAAACAGAACGTATTTTTGCACAGGACGATTTC